TTCACCATTTTCTGCTTCGTTTCCTGGCGTTAGTTCAATCTTCGTTTTTCCTTGTTGATTTATCCTCTTGAAGGTTACTTTTGTTCCGTCACGAATGTATTGTTTCTGTAATTAAATCCTCACCGCGCCGTGTTTATTTTGTGATGTTTATTTGTGTTGTGTCTTCATCAATTTGTGTATGTATACCCTTGACAGTCAAAATGAAAACAATTCGAGTTTATGAAATGGAATATTGTATACCTTTAGCATTTTAAAAGAAATACTCTGCATGTCCCACACATAACTAACTTCATAGTCTTACAGTCTTACTTCACTGAAAGAAGTGCAGAGTTTTCTTTGGTGACAGACTGAAAAAGGAAGTTTGAAGCTTATTTTTGGATGTAAGGAGTATTACCTAAGGCACAGTTTTGAATGATTTTTCCCGAGTGATTCAGTTTTGTTTGTTGGATATTTGTGTTGACTTACTTCATATTGATCTTTGTATTCATTGTAAAAGAGTTCATGTTTCTTACTATGTCCTTTAAAATTTGACTTGTCCACTATGTTTGGTTCAAGAAATTTGGAAAGGAAAGAAAAAAGAAAATGAGAGAAAAAAACATTTCTTGTTTGGTTAGAGGAAAAAGAAAAGAAAAGTGGAAGTAAAAGAAAATGAGAGAAGAAGTACACTAAGGGCTTGTTCTCTTCACATGATCTGAATCTGATTGGAATAGGTTCTGATTTGGTCTGACCTCAACTAAATGTAGTTATATTTAAAGCTATTTTTGATCTGGACTGGTCTGAACTTTTTTGAACTGAACGAATTCCAATAAGAATAAGTAATAAGTATAAGTTGAAGATAATAAGCTCTAAGAGGAAGGAAAATGGTTTTCCTTTCATTTTAGTGAGGAAGAAGAGAAAATCTCTTTCTTTTCTTTTCATTCGAATTCCGCAAAATCGCAAAACAAACATAGTAGTCGTGTTTAATCGACATTTTTTTCTTCACTCCACATCTTCATTGCTTCCTGTCATTTATTCTAAAGTTCTAGTTGCTGATCAAGTGATGGTTTAACACGTTGACTGTAAGTGCTTTTCATGGATGATTGCTGCAGGGCTGGAGAACTTACCCCTGATGAGATTGAGAAGTTGATGACTGTTGTTACAAACCCTCGGCAGTTCAAGATCCCCGACTGGTTCCTCAACAGGAAGAAGGATTACAAGGATGGGAGCTATTCACAGGTTGTGTCCAATGCATTGGACATGAAACTAAGGGATGATCTTGAGCGTTTGAAGAAAATTAGGTAATTGTTTCCTACCTGTTGTTTGTGATTCATGCTTCTGCCTTAGTGTAAACATCCTTACAAAATATATCAATCACAAGCAATCTATATAATATACTCTCTTTGTCCTAATTTAATTGTACGGACACCTTCCAAAGTATCTTAAATTTAAGGTCCATTTGAAAAAGGGGAGAATGACTTCGGGAAGTCAATTTCCCCTCTTCCTGTTGTTTGGCAAGATTAGAAAATTAGAGTAAATGGGAAATAGGCCTTCATTAGCGGAAAATGACATCCATTTTCCTTTCCTCGTCAGTGCTCCGCCTCCTTCCCCTCTTTGTCTCCGAGCCTCTACTTCTTCTCCTTCTACTTCGACGCCCTTCTCTGGCCTTCAACATCTTCTCTCCTCGCCAGAAAAAAGCATTTTCCTGTTTCTCTCTTTGCTCCTCTCTTCTCTCAGCTATTCTCTCTTCCCAAACAATTTTTTCCTCTTTGCCCAAAAATGTGTTCATCCTTTTTGTTTTCTTAGTTGATTAATTTTAACAATAATTATAAAAGTAAGGTTTCTATTATTGATTTGATTTTGTTGATTTTTCAGAAGTCTAAAATTAAATTCTAGAAAGTAGTTTATGAGGATTCTAGGGTTTTTGCTAAAGTATGAAATTTTAAAATAATCGGCCTCAAGAACTTTGGAACAAATGAAGAAAGTCTATGAAGTAACAAAGAGCTTTAAAAAAAGCTGTGTATTATGTTTCTCGATTTAAAAAGAGGAATTTTTTTTATAATTTTTAGAAACAAATGAATTTATGTAAATTACCATAGGCAGAAAACATATGAAAATTTCGAAATGCTCTGTGTTAAGAGTCTCAATTCAAAAATATACGAAGAAGCAGAGAAATTTTAGAAAATGTAACAAACACATACACACAATTTTCAGACTTCTATCCAAACAATGGAAACGTAAAATGATTTCAGGAAAATAATTCAAGTCATTTTCCAGAAGTCATTTTCCTCGTGCCAAAAGGACCCTTAAAGATTTCGTTACAACATCAACAATATTGTAAACTTCTACAGATGGGGTCTAGGGGTTGGTGTCTGTAAAACCTACTCCTACCTGAAAAGGTTGATAAACTCTTTCCAAAAGCACCACGACTCAAAGAACAGAACATAAACACTCGTTATTGGATTCCAACACAAAAACAGATAGGAGAACAAATACGAGTGGGGAGAGAAACGAAGATACCAACAAAGATTGCAAATGGATAGGGTCACAAAGGAAGCACTCACACGACCAGTAACCCTGACAGACCTAAACACCTAGGACCTAGCTTACCAATCCTATCTTAGTCTATCCTACAACTCTTGTCTAAGATGCCCAAGGGATCTTAGCTGCGGTCATGCCCTCATCATATATATAACCAAAATGTTTGTTACTTCCCTCGTTCCAAAATAAATATAATTTCTTGTTTGGTCCATCATTATTTCTCTTATTCAAATCAGTTCCAAGTATGCATTTTTCATTTTTCAACACTATTGTGGAACTCCGTGTCCGGTTAAAGTGAACTTTTAATTTGGGACTGAGGGAGTATTTCATACATGTAATCAAATATCGAGGATTATGAATGGGGCAAAATGCTTGTTGTATCATTTATACAACTAGATATTTGGAGCAATTCTCAATGTGTCCCTTGATTGTTATACACTTATACCTCAAGGGAGTATGTTGGGCTAGTAATGTAGTTTTATTCACCAAATATAGTAAATGGACTATTACTTTTGGACACCCCGAAAAGAAAAGATCAACAATTAAACCCTAATAGGCAGAGTAATGATTCAGCAAATGGCCAGATGGGATCACATCAATTTATTACTATCACAATTGGTCTCTTGCCAATAAAATTCTTACTTCCAAGTAGGGTTAAGGTCTCTGCAAACTCCATCTTTTACTTTTTATGAGACGTTTCTGAGTTTGTTGTACTATCTCAGCTGATGCATGTGTTCGTCATGTGTAATTTCCCATTCAGAATGTCCTCTTAGCTGCTATGTCTTTTTTGGTGTTTGACTCGTTCTTTTAAAAATGAATGATAGGAACCACCGTGGTCTGCGACACTACTGGGGTCTTCGCGTACGTGGACAGCACACTAAGACTACTGGACGCAGGGGAAAGACGGTCGGTGTCTCCAAGAAGCGTTAGAGATTTTCAATTCTACACCAATGATTATTGTTCTTCATTATTATGCTCTTTTTATTTTTTTGAATTTGGTTTTTAATATGCAATGCTGTCTGGTCTTTAGCACAATACCCTGGACTGACCACATGTTTCCAAAGTATGATTTCTAACTTGGGTTCTATCCCCTACCCCAATTAGGGATGTGCACCGGTCCAAAACCGGACCGGACCGGACCGGAACCGGTTAGGACCGGAACCGGAATTGCAATTTCTTTAAGACCGGACCTGTTTATTTCCGGTCCGGACTTGTTTTTTCCGGTCCGGTCCGGTTTTACCCTACTTTAGACCGGATTTTTTTTTAATATTTTTTTGCAATCTTATAAATGAATTAAATTATTAAATAAATTTAGAAAAAAATTGAAATAACAAGTTCTTTTTGTTCAAAGTATTTAATAAAAATAGTACTTATAAGTAGAAGCAACAGATTCATCAAAACTTATTTTATAACTTATTCAAATTTATAAACTACCGTAAAAATAATAATTTAAAATAAAATATTTAAAAACTAAATATTGGAAAAATGAAATTCATGAATCTAAAACTATATTTACTGGATCTAATGCTTTTGGGCTTGAAATTAATAATGGATACAATTTATATAATATATTCCGGTCTGGATTGGAAAATTCTGGGTCAAACCCGGACCGGACCGGAAACCCGGAATCCCTAATTTGTAAAACCCGAGGACCGGACCTGAATCTTCCGGACCGGTCCAGACNCCCCCCCCCCGGTCTAACCCAAAGAGCAATTTGTAGGGTAGGTTATGAATTTGGTAAAATAAGTTAATTAGTTTTGTAGAGTCTAATGTGTAGAAATTGGAATCTTGAGAATTGAAATTTGAGGTTGGAGAAGACTAGACTCTGGGGTCAAACTAAGTTAACTTTTTTTGGGACAAATAAAGCTTTAAGTTTTTGTCCTCGGATTTTCAGGTTCTAAATTACATGAATAAGTTTAGACTTTAATTGGTTAATATTATGGTGTAAACGAGTACATCTTACCTAACAGAAGATAAAATCATACCCAAAAAAAATATGCAAGTGTAGATTCACAGTGAAGCCATAGGCTTTTCTTGGGTAGGTTTCTTTTTTGGGAAAATTTGTCTATATTTAACAAATGTCAAATATTGGAGTCTTAAGTGACCATACGTTTTAGGAGCTCTGTCTTCCACCAAACTTTGCCAATAACTATCCCGGCCTATTGTTTGCAAGGTTCCCATGTTCAACCATCTTATATCTTTGGAAACTCTTTTGTTAGTTTCGAGTATTTTTTAAATTTTTTATTTTATACTCTGTATAACATACAGAGTATAATTTCATTAGTATATGCTCTTTTACATATAAAATATATGCCATCCTCTCTTAAGCTTGATTAGCTACTTTAGCTTCTACGGCGTATGAAACTTTTGTAGACCAAACATGAACCTTTACGGGAGTTGGAGTGTATTTGAACAGTTTTACTTTTTTCAATTAAAATGAAGGAACTTTGATCATCATTTAAATACAAATTGCTTTGCATGTTAATATTGAAATGACTTCATTGAATTTACCTTGCAAAATATACTTCTCGAAAATGATATTGTTGTATCAATATATCATGCAATTTTTATTTAATCTTGATCAAAATTCGGCCAATTTAACTAGAAAAAAGTTAAAATAGACGAACATGCTGCTAGCTTTATTTTGATTTTGACTTTCAAAAGAGATGGCACAGGAGGCGTGGGGTGGGGACGGCGATGAGTCGACTCGCTAAGGGCGCAGTGAGACCAAACACGTCGTCCATATTGAGCTCACTCGGTTTCATCCCATCCGGCAATTCCCACGTGAAGCAATGAAGAAGTTGGGCGACGGCCATGTCTAGCGCGTACAACCCGAGTTGCATTCCTGGACACGACCTCCTGCCCGACCCGAAAGGTACGAACTCAAAATGGCTCCCTTTGAAGTCTGGAGCCCCATCTTTGAGAAACCTTTCGGGTTTAAAACTGTGCGGGTCGTCCCAGGAGTTCTTGTCTCGTGCGATGGCCCATGCGTTGATCACCACGCGCGACTTGGCAGGGATGTGGTACCCATTGACCACGCATGACTTGGCTGCCTCATGGAGGAGGAGAGGGATAGGCGGGTGCAGTCGGAGCGTCTCCTTCACGCAACATTTTAAGTAGGGTAGATTTTCTAAATCAGATTCGTTCACTTTCCGGTTGAAACCGACGGCGGCAGCGAGCTCTTCTTGAACCTTCTTGAGTTCGGCCGGCGCTTTCATCACCTCCGCCATGGCCCACTCTATTGCTGATGCCACAGTTTCGGTGCCCCCAAACATCACGTCCTGAATATAAATTATCACATAATAAATTTAAACCGACTAAGCTAACAACTAAACAGAGAGTAATACAATAAATAAAGAAACGATCATGTTATAATCACACCATGTTTAACACCAAAGGTTGACAATCCATATTCTGTACTCCCTCCATTTCTAAAAGAATTACTCTTCAAAAGTCACGGGAAGTTTTGTTTATTTGTATATTTTGATGGATTATTTGAAAAAAATAAAACATCATTGTCAACTCTTGTTTTGTATAACTTTTAACGTAGCTCTTAAATATGTATATTTTATTTTTAATTTTAATACCAATTTTTAATTTAAATCATTTAAAAAATTGAATTTTATTTTATTTTGTGTAAAATCTAAAATATTTTAGAAGAGAGAGTATTTTAAAGATATGTACCTATAGTCAGGATATGGCTTTTCAACTACCCTTAAATTCTTTGAACATATGTGGCTATTTTGACTAGTCCAAAGTACATACTACGTTCTTGCTCTAATTTTTTGTGCATTCTATAAAATACTTTCTCTATTTAAAATGTCTAAAATACTTCTAAAATAACTTCTACCCGCAATAAACTACATAATATGATATATTTTTATATTTGTGATAGAAGTAAAAATATTTTATGAGGTGCAAAATAATTAAGGTGGAAGTATTTTGAAGAACGGATGAAGTATAGGGACAAGTCAATAACTTTTAGGAGGAGCCTTACATTTCCATAAATGACATGTTTAATGTATATATGTCCATCAAACTTTGAAGTAAAAATGGGCCCTATATGGCATAGACTATTAAACAAAATTATCATGTCCATTAATTTTTCCGTCGTGTTAGAAATCAATTTCGTGTGGGCCTTAAAAAGCTAACTAAAGTTACCGTTTGTGTTCACTAATCCTTCCATCTTTTTGATTTACAATGTTAAATTGAAACCATTTTAAATAAAACAAACATTGCGAGTTTAATTATATTGGTGGAAAATAAAAGAGAAAGCTATATACTCCTTTTTTCTCATTTCATTTTTTCACGGTTTCTAGTATAATACTTTGAGCATTAATATCTTTATTCAAAAAATATGTATAAATATAGATTAAAAATATATGATATTTCAAATTGCATTTTTAAATGTAGTATCTATTGGAATTAAATTTATATCACTATTCAATTTTAAAAATTGTGAGTATTTTTCCTGTAATTTGTGGGCAAAGCTTAAAAACGTTGATCACAAATATTAAAATGGAAGAAACATATGAGACAAATAGAGTATTTAAAAATAATATCAAATGTTCTACTCCTTCCGTTTGCCAAAGTCTTGCCTATCTACTATTCAAGATATCGTGAGAACTTTTGTTTGCGTGTATTTTTTAATTTGTCATTTGACAAAATAAAAATTCTTGTCACTATTTATTTGGTAAAATATTATTTGTTATTTTTAAATATTTAAGTTTTACTTTTTATTTATATACGAATTTAAAAATAGAATCATTTTAAAAAAGATATGATTTTGCACGTAAAAATGGAATAGAAAGTGTTTTTTAAAAAAAGAGAGAGACTATAAAATACAAAAGGTGACATTACTATTTTGAGCAATTTACGTAAATAGCACTAAAACATAATGACTTTCCCTATATAGCATTATATATGTTTTTTTTTCCAATATAGCACTTTTAGTCATTATCCATTAGTCATTATTCAAGTAAATGTTTGTCATCATTGATCATTATGGACATTATTAAGTGCTATTTAGGGAAGAAAACAATCTAAGTGATATTTAGAGAAATGACTTAAGTAGATTCAGTTATTTTATGTATTAAGATCTATATAATAAGTATGAACATGAATTCTACGGAGTACAAAAAAATTTGCCATGTAAAATATTTCTATGGGAGATTTTGAAATGTACCTTTTCCGGAGATTAAACCTTAATTTTGAAAATCTAAAAAATCCAATTTCAAAAGAAAATTAACAAAACTTTAGTCAACATTATACTCCGTATTTTTCTATTCTTGTATTTTAAAAATTCTAAAAGCAAACATGTTTCTCTTTTTCCCTCTAAACTGGTAAAAGTACCATAATTACTTTAGTGATGTGAATATGTTAACAACCAATTTATACTCGTTGTCCCAAATTAATTTTTTTTTTATTTCTTTACGTTTGTTTCAAGATAAGTTTCTTATTCTTTTTAGCCACATTATTAATAGATTAATTTTAAAATATAATTATGAAAATATTACGTATCATATTATTACAATATATATCTACATATAAATATGCCTAAAACACATAGAAATAAAATTTATAATGATGAAATTATTATATTGAAAACCATAAAGAGTCAAATGAGAATCAAATTTCAAATGAAAGGAATAACAATAATTGAATTTGTTTCCCTTTTTAAAAAATTGAATTTGTTTAGTATCCTAAACAAACAACTAAATCGAAACGCTCAAAAAAAGAATATACTCCCTCCATTTCTAAAAATATTTTTTGCTTTGACATTTTCTGGTCAAACAGTTACATAACTTGATCACAAATTGTGAGAAAAATATATATTTAATTATAATAAAAATTCAACATAATTAGGTTCATCTTAGGATATAAATTTGATATATCAATTTTTTATATCATTTATTTATTTGGATTATATTTAATTTGTGGTCAAAGAGTGTTACTATTTGACCAAAAAATAGCACTCTTATACTTCCTCCGCCCGGAAATATTTTTTTAAGTAAACCCCTTAAATAGTAGTAAAACATGTGTTATATCCTCAGAGTATGAGTTCAAACATAAAATACACTAAATAGGAGTAATTAGCTATTTTTTATTTGCTCTTGGCCACACAAATCAAATTAGACCTTTATGATGAAAAGTATGGGCGAGGGAACACCTTTCCGGCGATTGTTATTTGATTGAGCGAGGAGCTTTACATGTGGAGTCAACATTGAACCTTCCTGGTCCTACTTCATCCAATGCCCCAATCTAAGGCAGCCTTTTCATTTCGATGGCTTTAGTTTTTATTGTTCGATATATAATATATATTTTTGGAATGACTATATATAATATTTAAAGCAGTCATGAATATCCAAAACTATCTCTTGTCATCCCTAAATACAAGCGTATTAGCCATACACACTCCGAGAATCAAATTTGTAAATTTGTAATTAATTCACTATCAAATTACTTCTTTGCGTATTTTTTTCTTTTTGACATTCTACACTGTCATATTTGTGCTTAATCAGTGCCATGTTTGGCACTTTGCTTTCTTTTTTACCTTATAGAGTGACATATTTGTACTTATTTAGTATTATGGTTGGCATTATGGATTGTAATTGTTGGTATTATAGCTTCGATGACACTTTGTATAAAGAATATTCTTTACTGTAGCGACGATGAAGGAGGAGGAACAATAAAGGAAGCAGCTTTATTTGCTATTCTTTGCTGGGAAATTAAAAAACAGTTCAAAAGAATTGGTTTTAAAAATTCCGACAAAGAAATTGGGTAAAAATATTAAGACTAAATAATTTATATAATAATAAAAAATCTGGATTTTTTTGTTCGGATGGCTAATGGAAGGCGTTTGAAGAGAAGATATGATATTCTTGGCGCATACTAGGGGAGGTCTAGCCTTGTTAAGTTAATTACTCCTATTTAGGGAAGCTTAAGTTTAACTCCTATTTTAGCATATGACATCTCTTTTACTCCTATTTTGGTCTATCTTCCTATTTTTTTTCACATTTGACTTTTCTTGGTCAAAGTTTATTAACTTCTACAATTTTTGAAAGGCCAAATAGCTCTGGTACCCCTTGTGGTTTGGAAAATTGGCACCACCACCCCATCTGTTTTCAAAACTTATTTCTAAAGTTCATGTGGTTTCAAAACGTTGCACCCACACCCCCTCTAATCTTTTTCCGGCGAAGAGGGGGCATTGGCACATAATTTCTAAACCATATGGGACATTCGTGCTCATTTCTTATTTTCGTTTATTCTTCTTCCATTTTTTAAATATTTTCTATCTCTTTTTCCTTTTCCTAGATTTTTTAAAAATATATTTTCAATTCTTTATAATGTTTCAAAAATTTTCAAATTCTTTGTGTTTGAAATGAAAATAAAAATAAAAAAATTAAAATACATTACATCTATCTCAAAGTAAATATTTTCACTTTTTGTTACTTAGAATAATTTTTTGTAAAGTTCAAAAAAAACAAAGAATAAAAAAATAAAAATATGGAAAAATAAAATACGCAAAAAAAGTCTTATACAATTTTTTTTTTTGACACGCCTAAAAAAGTCCTTAGAATTAAGATGTCCAAAAAGGATATTCATTTTTATTTTTGCATTAATTTGTTTCTTATTTTATTCCTCATTTTTTGAAGTTCTCAAAAAAAATTACTTTTTTTCAGGAAAAAAAATTGTTAATTTGAGAAGTACATATGCATCATATGTTAATTGTTTTTTTAAAAAATAACTTTAAATTTTAAGAACATTATAAAAATAATTTTAAAAAAACCTTTATTAATAAATGAAACAAAAAAAGGAAAAAATGGAAAAAACAAAAAATATGCGAGAAATAAAAATCAGCACTGATACCCCCTATGGTTTAAAAAATATGTACCCATGCCCCTTCTTTGCCGGAAAAATGGTCGGAAAATGATCAGAGGGGTACGGGTACAGTATTTTGAAACCACGGGGATTTTAGAAATGAATTTTGAAAACAGAGGGGGTATTGGTGCTTGTTTTGCAAACCACGAGGAGTATGTGCGCTATTTGGCCATTTTTGAAAAGTACATTGTATTATGATATAAATTTAATATCAATATATTTCTAATGAAACGTAGTTATCAAATATCAATTTTTTGTAAAATATATCTATGTATAGATATAGATATTATTGGTCAAAGTACAACATTAAAGACCGTGAAAAGTAAAATGAGATGAACATTTCGGGATAGAGAAATTAATAAACATGACCGTACGAATAGGGTAGAGATGGAGGTCTTGTTTGGGGACATCTTTTTAAATTCCTGTTAGTCTTTAGATAACTTATTAAAAACATACTCCCTCCGTCTCTAAATAAAGTTCCATTTTTGACTTTTTGAGGATTTAAGGGAGGGATATTTTTGTGTTGACTTTCCAAAAATACCCTTGATATGATGTGTAAAAGTAAGATGTGATAGGTAGATTATTAGTAAAAAGGTATGATGTGATAGGTAGGGTATGAAAAAGTAAGGGGTAAAAGGGGTTTTTTAAGGAAAAAGAGAAGTTTATTTAGGGACAAAGAAAAAACGAAAGAGGAACTTTATTTAGGGACGGAGGGAGTAATTAAATTTTGAAAATATTGGAACAAAATGCAATTACCAGATAATTTTTTTTATAAAAAAAATATACCAGTAACTTTTTTTTTAATCCTAAAACTAACAGCCCAAGTTGTGGTCAAACACGCCGGAAGCTAATTAATAACTACCCAGAGTATAAAATAGTGATCAAATAGTGATAAAGATGGAGAAAATATACAGTAATTAATAGGAGGAAAGAAATATAAAGCGGTTTAAGGAGGGGAGAAATGTGCATGTAATTAAAGCACTTACCATTATGATGGCTTTGATATTATCCTTTGTTAGCTTAATGGCATTCACCAAATCTTCTGATGACTCGTTCAACTCAGCTTTCTCCCCGTAAAACGCCAGCAGCTCGTCCACCATATCGCTTTCCGCCGCCGCGTTGTCGCCGGGAACCTCCCCCTTCCCGCCACCATTACTTCTTTTCTGTATGTGGTCATCGATGATCACATCGATGAACCCGTCGAGCCGGGCCCGAGCCTCCGCGAGCCTCGGGTTCAGCCGCTGCAAGTCGGCCCACTTCAGCCAAGGGAAGAAATCCGATATGTTGAATGCTCCAAAGAGCTTTGAGAATTCTTGGAGGATGGAGATGAAGTCCTCTTGCCCTTCCTTGGACTTGGACCCGAATGCGGCCCGGTATATGACGCTCTTCATGAGCCCGAACACCAGCTCGCCCACGTTCACGGGCGAACCGGCGCTCGCCGCCACGGTCCGGACCATCTGGTCCACCTCGTCCCGGACCGAGTCCCACGACTCGGCCCGTCTCCTGCTGAAGAGCTTCATGACGCACACCTTGCGCATCTGGCGCCAGAACGGGCCGTAGTGGGCGAACGCCATGTCGGCCCGTTCGTACGTCAGGTAACTGATGGCGACGGTCGCGGGCCGGTTGGACAGGACGCCGTCGTGGACTTGGAGCACCTGACGGGCTTCCTCCGGGCCCGACACCACGACCATGTGGAGGGAGCCCATTCGCGAGTGCACCAAGCCGCCGTACTTGTCGGCTAGCTTGGCGAGCCCGCGGTGCGAGTAGTGGTCCATCAAGTTCATGTACCCGATCAACGGCCAGCCTTTGGGGCCGGGCGGGTAGGGTTTCCCATGGAACTTGGCTAGAAGGGAGAAGGACAACAAAGGGAGGATGATGATGATGATGATGATGATGATGATGATGTATAACATCATGGAGGATTTGTGTTACTAATAGACAGACTAACAAACTTTAAATATATATAAGTATTGTATTTGGTGTTTATTCCGATTATAGTAAAGTATTTATAGGCCAGAGTGACCGAATTGGAATTGCAACTAGGAAAGGATAGTAATGTTATTAGGCAGTAATAGTAAGAGATATATGAAGGCTTTATATAGTGCAAGTTTTGTTGGTTGGGGGCCTATTGAGCTTTATAAAAAGCCTTTTTTTATGTAAAATGTTTTAGCTTTAAATAAAAATGAATTAAATAGACAAAGATTAACTCCCTAATACTCCTTCCCTTTGAACTCCTCATAAACAAGTAGCCTTCAATTTCTCCTAGACACAATTACCCTTAATTTTCTTGAATCTTACCAAACCTACCTCAACTATGAACCTTCTAAGCTTTACCCATTTTGACATTTTCCGAACCCAACTTATTTCAATTGTCGTCGTTTCACCTTGTTCAAACTTCTATATCTTCCCCTCCCAGAAGTCAAAACTTGAAAAATTTTCCGGGAGAGAGGAAGTACGGAGTAGTATTTTTCATAGTTTTATGTAAAGAGTTTTTGCGCCATTTATACCTGAGTTCTTCAAAAATTGTGTGGATTCCTCCTGAGTTTTAAAAATTGTATCAGTGGTCTTTGAACTTTTAAAAATGTTGGGTCAATAGTCTCTATGTGCCAGATTTGAGAGTGTGTTAATCGCACGCTCGTCTAGTGTATGAATTATTCTTAAGTTCTAAAATCATATATCACATGTAAGTTCTGCGCGCAATATATTTTCACCTTGGTTCCCATGACATTGGGAACCAATGTCATGGGATGACCCGGGGCGCTCCGGTGCCCCGTTCGTAAAATTGACGGTTCCTACCCCCCTAACCCCCCGGTAAACCCCCCCACCCCGCCTCGACCCGAACGCACCCCCCACCCCCTTCAATTGCACCCCACAAGTTGATTTTGACTTTGGAGTCAAAATTTGACTCCAAAGTTAATTAAACTTATGCTTGAGTAGTATTGTTGAGTTTTATTTTTTCAAATTAAACTTGATACTTTGATTATCAATTAAATAAAAATTATATTCTCATCCTCCTAAAACTAATTTGTCATTGCGATTTACAATACTTGACTGAAGTTATTTTTATAATAGTTTATTGGAAAAATGGTGTAGAATTTTAAAAAAATTATATTTTTAAAAATAAATCAAAAGATCTACAAAATTATAGGTGAAATCTATATATTATTTTATCAAATACGTAGTACGTAACGAAAATAAGCTTACAAAGTAGATAAATTAAAGTTTACCTAGGAAATAGTTACTGGAAAGAAAATTTTAGAACAGAGAGAGTTAAATATAAGTACAAAAGTGATTTCATTAGATTTATCTTGCAAAAAAACTATTTTATTGTTTTAATATGCAATGTAAATGTACAATAGTTGATAATTAAATCTTTTCCAATTTGATTCAAAAACTCAAACTAAATGATGCGAATTAAAACTGTCTAGTTTGACATTTTCAAGCTAGTCAAACTTGATGGATTTTAATCATCAATTATTCTCAATGTGTATTGTATATTATTTAATACACTAGATAAATTTTTAAATGTTCTTAACAGTTTAAATATAAAAGGATCGTAGTTTTTATATTAATATACGGAGTACGTTATAACTTGTATTCAATTGAGCTTCAAAGTATGCTCTGTTTGATTCAAAAAATCAAATTAAAAGAATACATTGGGATAAAAGTAGTATTAGAATCTAGTCCACATTATTTTTTATAATATATTTGACAAAAAGGTGATGCTAAATTTCACCCCCTAAATGACAATATCTACATACATCTTTAACTAAATTTTGCTACATTCACACCGATATAAAAGTTACGTTAATGAGTGTGATTTAACAAATAAGTGAAAGGTATAGATATAATCATTTAAGGGGTGAATTTAGCAACACCTTTTACAAAATAATTTAACATTTCCATGCTACTATGTTTACTAAATACTACAAGAGTCATGCTTAGAGTACACCAGTACCGTACCCCATTTATATACCATTCATTTTATTCATACACTTATTATTCATTAGTTATTATTTTTTATCAACACTAAATTTATGTGGTGGAGAAGCTCTAGTGTACATCTGGAGTACACCAAAGGTGTACCCCTGGGATTTTTGATACTGCAAAATCATATTGCCCAACTTCTTTTACAACGTATAAATGGTTATATAATGTTTCTCACACATCTGCAGAGAGTACTTATTTATTAATAATTGAATATTCATTTTCAAACACTGAATACTTTTTTTTTGAGTAACTGAATACTCATTTTCTGAAAAACCAGTTATGCTCGAAAATGAGTATTAAATTACTTGAAAATAATATTCATGCGGTTATACGGGAAATACAGTACATCTAGATGTATGGTAAACCCGTCATTATTTTTCTAAAAAGATAACGAATAGTCCTTTATTTCCACATAAGGTTTAATTTTGAGAGTAAATTAAATGCAAATGTATCAATGGTCTAACAAAAATAATATTTTTTTTACATGGTCAAGTTGTGTACATCTTGATCATAATCCACACTCCAATGGAATATAGATTAAAATGACTTCAAAATAAAATATAGATATAAATTCTTAAAGATGTCCTTTCTCTTTAATACGGAGTATCAAATTGTAACTTATATTGAAATTGCGTAGTTTGTGCGGGAGGCATCGCCAATAATTGGAGGAACCTGTACCTGGTACTTACAGAAGTCATATGCTTAGCATAATTGTCTCTTAGTGTAGTTGTCAAAAACCGAACTCGGGTCTCAAGGTCTTACCCCCTTGACACTTCTTGCCTATGTCAACTGCGCAACGCCCACCGGTATGGGCTGATTTTGATTTGAGGTTGTGTAGTTTGTTGTTGAGGCGTACAAGTAGGTAGGTATGTGGGGACTGTTCATACGTAGACAAATTGAGGAGCAAGTTAATGCCATTTGGAGATTTTGTTTGTATGAAATGGAGAAGAGTGAAGAGTCAAATTTTGAAATTTTGTGCACCTCTTTTCTTTTTTTCTTTTCTTTTTTTTGACAAAATGTGGAGTACAAATGGGCTCATTACGCCACTACTGCCCAGCCAGACATGTGTGGGCTTGACATGCTCCGCGATACCTGGGTCTCTCATAAACTTTATCCAATACACGGTACATAAATTATTACTCCCTCCGTCCTCAATTTGATTACAAATTGTAGGTTATGGAGTAAATTTTCTACTTTTTAAAATCATTTTATTTACAAATTGGTTTATCAATAAGATATAAAAATTACATATTAAAAAACTACGTCAAAAGTTCTATAAAATAAGAGGTGACAAAAATATTTTATTTTATCAAATACTTAATGAAATCGCGTAAACAAACCAAAATTATCGAGAGGAGAGAAAAAAAATTATAATCTATTTAGGGAAGGAGGGAGTATTATTATTATTATTATTATTATTATTATTATTATTATTATTATTATTATTATTATTATTATTATTATTAATACTATTATTATTATTATTATTATTATTACCCTCCTACGTGGCCGATTATATTGTCCACCTTCTAACATCTCTCAATGAGGTTATAACTACACTCGTTTTTGAGTGTCATATTATGGCACCAATCAATTTAAAAGTTTTACACTTAACTATTAAAAAATTGATGGTTTCTATCGCATTTTACTTTTGAGTAAACTTCGCACTCTAGCTCGACTCAAACTCACTTCCCACTCCGTCAACTGACCCCCCCCCCCCCCCTCTAGTTTTAATTGACTTTGAAGTCAAATTTTTTATGTAAAACTCAACAAAAATTAAGAGACTCAATTGATAGGGATAGAGGGTGGGTTGAGATTGGACCGGGGTGTGTGGTATAACAACTAATAATAAATTAGGATTTAGGAGAGATTACTATGAGTAGAACTATATTACGGAGTACTCCGTAATTTTTTAATAAAGCATCGAAAGGATCTCAATTTAACCGATGTCATTATACAACAGCCAAAATAGATGTCCATATAACCTTGTCCGACTTTTAAACTACTTAATTTTAGTTGTGTCAAACTTTAGGTGGCAAGTTCTATGGAGGACTTTCCTAAAGTCTACGATGAACTTACATATGAGCAAAATAAATATTTTTTACTATTTAAATAAGTATTTGTTTTTTTAAATAAAAAAAATTTTGTGTGAGAAAGTCTATAAATAAAAATGATATGCACCTAAAGTACATCAAAGAAGAATTCACTTTAAGTACCCATTATTATGCTTTTTTTCGGAGTCATGTTTGATTCATATACTCCGTAATATACTCCCTCCGTCCATAAATAAAGTTCCATTTTTGACTTTTTGAGGATTTAAGGGAGGGATATTTTGGTGTTGACTTTCCAAAAATACCCTTGATGTGATATGTTAAAGTAAGATGTGATAGGTAGATTATTAGTAAAATGGTATGATGTGATAGGTAGGGTATGAAAAAGTATGGGGTAAAAGGGGTTTTTTAAGGGAAAAGAGAAGTTTATTTAGGGACAAAGAAAAAACGAAAGAGGAACTTTATTTAGGGACGGAGGGAGTATATGAAAGCAGCATAGCAATTTTCTTTGGTAGAAGTATTTTCATAACAATATAATATACAAGCTCCACTTTTTTTACTGTCGGGTTCACTTTTCATGATTAATGTTTGATTAACAATATCGGCTATTTTTTTCTAACAGCTATAAACAAGCTATATTTTGGTCTTTTTCTAACAGCTAGTTTTTAAACATATAACGGCTTGTGGAATGATTACTTTGCTCCAGGCCTGGTGTACGATGAGAGTTTGTACAGAAGGCGCGGTTCAAGATCGATCGATGATCGAGCATATACAACGTTTTTTATTGGATTGTGATGATAGATATATTCGAGCCAGGTAAAAGTAAAACTGAACATTATACACATACATATTTTACACAAAGATATGGTGGAGTGGGAAGAACGGGTTTATCGCTAAGACAAAAATGCACAAGCGCCATTCGGCAAATTGGCATATGGC